TATTGAAATGGTTAAAATCAATGTTCCACAAAGCACGATAGGAAGACATTTGTATATTACACCTTCAACAATGCATAAAATAACTAAAAGATTCAAGGAATCTGGAAGAATTTCAGTGCGTTAAGGCCAAGGGCACAAGCCTAAGCTGAACAAACATGATCTTTAAACCATCAGGTGGCACTGTATAATATCACCACATGAGCAAAGGGCTTCTTTGGCAAACCTGTCAAAATGTAGTGACATCCACATGTCAGTGAAAACTGTACTGTGCCAAAAGGTAGCCCTATATTAACAGTGTACAGAAGCATTGTTGACTACTCTGTTCTCTGAGGCATCTGGGATGGACCATCACACAATGGAAACATGAACTCTGGTCAGATGAATCAGTATTTCAGGTATTTTTGGGAGAAATGGACGCCGTGTGTTCCGGACCAAATAAGAAAAGGATATTCCAAACTGAAACCAGCAACAAGCCAAAAAGCCTGGGTCTGTCATAGTATAGGGATTCTGTCAGTGCCCCTGGCAAAGGTAACTTGCATTTTTGTAATGGGACCATTAATGCTAAAAAGTACATGGAGATTTTGGAGCACAATATGCTGCCTTCTCTACCAGGGTCCCTCTGGAACCACATTCTGCACACATTACAAAGTCCTGGCTGTGGAGGAAGAGGATACAGGTACTTTACTGGTCTGTCTGCAGGCCTGACCTGTCTCCAATAGAGAATGTGTGGTGCATTTTGAAGCACAAAATGTGACAGTGAAGACCACATACTGGTACCCACCTTAAGACTTGTTTGGAGAAAGAATGGGACAAAATTACGTCTTAAACACTTCATCTATTGGTGTCTTCAGTCTCTAAATGTCTTATGAGCATTGTGAAAAGAAATGGCAACATTACAAAGTGTTAAACGCTTTACTGTTTTAATTTATTTTACAAAAATGTGTTACAAGAACCAAAACTGGAGTACGTGTTTATTTTAAAAAAACAAAACAAAAACAAAACAATAAAAATCACAAGGAACACATTAAATAGGGTTTGTTGTATTGAATTTAATGTCAAAAATAAATTTATAAATCTCTTTTTTTTTTTTTACATGTTCCATACTGAAATAGGAGCCATTCATTGGATAATTACCAAATGAATGATCATTATTCAGCTGATAACAAGTTACATTATTCAGCTGGAAATTGATGGAAAGAGTAGCTTACCAATTCATAAACAAACATGTCAGAAAACACTTCCTGTGGTTGTGGAAAAGATGGTAATCTGTTTCAGTGGGGTCAAATTATTGACATGCATTAAGCAAAATTCCATCTAAGGAGATTGCTGTAACTACTAAAATTGGGTTTGATGAAGAAATGTGGTTGAAACTAATCTTGGCATCTGCTGATATCAAACCAAAGAATAAACCAGAGTAGAACTCAGGGCTATGTTTAATAGTGAAAGTACAAGCTTTTCTACATGCACAATGTGAAGGGAACTCAAGGGATTGGCACAAAACAGCTGTGTAGCCTTCAGAAAACCACTTATCTGTGAGGCTAACCGGGAAAAAGCCTTCAAATTGCTAGGGAGCATAAAGATTGGACTCTGGAGCAATGGTAGAAGGTCATATGGTGTGATGAGTCCAGATTTGTCCTGTTTGAAAGTGATAGATGCATCATGGTAAGAAGAGAAGCGGATGATGCGATGCTCCTATCACCTAGTGTTTAGAAGATGCAAGCGATGTAATCTGGGGATGCTGCATTTCGTCAGCTCTAGGTTCAGCAATGTTATGCGCCTAATGAGGTCAGCTGACCGCCTGGATAAACTGAATGACCAGAACATTTCATCAATATAATTTGTCTACCCTGATAGCATGGGCATATTCCAAGATGATGATGCCAGAATCAGGCTCAAAATGTGAAAGTGCATCAGGGAGCATGAGGAATCATTTTCACAAATGGATTGGCCACCACATCTCCTACCTACTTAATTCAAATTTCCAAAAAAAAAAATTCCAAAAGCATACCGAAACAACGTCACGGCAAATGCATGCACTGCCAAAACTAAAATCAGTCCAATAACATATTAGAGTGTGAGACATTTTGTTTTGGACATGCTGTGTAGTTTACAGAAAGATTATAATGGTAATATTTACTGAAAGCTACATTATAAATCTAAATGTTTTCAAATGTTAGCATTTTCAGAACCTCAAATCTGTTTTTTGACTAAATAAATGGCCAAAAATAATAAAAAAGGATTCAGGGTTTTGTTGCTGTTGTTGAAAATGGTGTAGATAAACTATCTTAAACTTACTGTTGTCACCAGAGGAGAAACTTTAAGGCCTCTCTGCAGTTTACCACCAGATTTATCACAAAAATTATTCTGCCATACCTAATTTATATAAAGCTACTTTATTACTATGTTAGAACTCTTTTTCTCTTGGCTCAAAATGTGGCAATACTATCCAATTGATCAATTTACATGTCTGTTTAGTGACACTGGCAAGCTTTTCTTACATCTAAGATCATCTTTCATAAGTTACAGTGTTTACTCCGATTCTGTCAAATCAGCTCAGTTCATTTTGGCCTAAATAGTAAACTATTCAGCCACTGTGAGATAGCCAGCTCTCAGCTCATCCATTTTTATTTAGAAAATGCTCACAGGCTGGTACTTTAGGTAAACATGGTCAATCACTTTTAAATCCCTCCATAAGGAACCTGCAATCAAGAAAGACTCAATAGAGCCTCTCAAATAGGAGTCAGGCTCTGAACTTCCTTTAACTACTAATGAAACAGATATACTTGTGTGAGCGACAGAAAGCAAAAACTATGAATAGTGCAAACACAAAAGAGCTTCTACGCAACTAGCTGACTCGTACTGTTATTTTCTCTGCACTTTTTTTAGCTTGTGGATTCAATTCTGTCAGGAAAACAAGATTGCGACATGAGTAAGACAGGCAGAACAACAAAGCAAGGACGATAAAAAAGGAGGGGAAAAAACGATGCACTTCCCACAGCAGTCTAACATGAACACTCAAAAAAAGAAAGAAAAAACAAACATAGAATGAATCTGCCCACACAAATAGTCAAAGAGAGAGAGAGAAAGTGAGCGAGCAAAGAGGAGAGGAAAGTAAGAGTGAGGTGGCTGCCTGTCAGTGCTCTTCAGCAAACTGTACAAGCTTCAATTGTTATGTAACCTATGATTTAACTCTCAAATCTAGAACTAAAATTAGAGATGATAATAGATTCCATCACAGGCAAATCTCAGCATGTGTTTATCTGGATGTTACATTTGATCAAACACCAATACATCAAATTCTGTTCACAATGCCTGAGCTCTAGCTCCACAAGTCTTTTGGGAGTAAATTATCCAATTTCCTGAAATTACATTTCTAACAAACAATGAATGAAAGCAAACATGTTTTTTTTTTAAGTCTCGCTCAGGAGCATTTGATGAGAGCAAATGAAAAAAGTTTAGTCTCTGTGCTTGTGCCCAGGTTGGGGTTGAGTCCAAAAGCTAGTGCCCAGTACAGTGTAATCAAGTGGGCAAAATAAATAAAAGATTGATTTTAGCCCTGCTAAAGCCAGTAACTCTGACTGGGATGGCGGCCAAAGATTTTTCTGCAGGCCTGTGACACTGGTAACGGACTTTATAGGATGAGAGGAGGGAGGGGGAAAGCAAATGAGGCTGTTTGGTGCAAAAACACTGTAAAAATTGAAAAGATACTTGAGGCAGTTGGAGGCTTTTGGGAACAGTGATTCTCAACCAGGAGTGTGTGTACCCAAGGAAGTACGTTAAGATTTTGATAGCTGCAACAGATTAATAATTAAATAAATAAATACCTGTTTAATTCATAATTATAACAGGACAAAAGTAGGGCTATTAAAGCATCTGCACACACTAAATGCATTGCTCAATGTCATTTATCACAAACCTACATTTGTACATTGTTATTTTTTTTGTTTTGTTTTTGGTATTTTTGTTGGTGTACATTTGCTGTTTAAAACACTGTTTATTTGTAAATAAATTGATCTGCATTGCTTTACATATCTATCTATCTATCTATCTATCTATCTATCTATCTATCTATCCCATTTTTAAAAAGAAAATTATCTATTTCTGAGTGAATATAGGTAATATATATTGGTGCATTTGAAGAAAACAGATTTATTAAACATATATATATATATATTAATTAAAACAATATTTTAGTCACCAAACATATTTAAAAAATGAAGGATATACAATTAAATGCATGCAAAAATATTGCGAAAAAATACAAATAAACAACAACAGTTCAAATAAAATTCTATATATTTTTTGTTTGTCTTGATTTTGCTATTTTTTAAAATTTTTATTTAATATTTTTCCCTAATATATAAATTTGGCTACTTGTGTTTGGGCCATTTTTGTAAGTTATTTTGTTAGATAAGCTCCAGATTCGGCTTCAGTACTGACTAAACCAATGCATGTGCACAAATATAATATTGTAAAGCATCATATAGAAAATATTAATTTAAATTGTGAGGATGTATTGCTGAGCACTATATCTGTCCAACTATAATTGTTCAGTTTTTTTCTTTCTTGATTTTTTTTCTTCATTTTTTTTTTTTATAAAGAAACAATATAGTTTTTTAGTTTGGTTTACTCAAATATGACATTTCTTCATTTCAATGACAACTAAATCTTTTATATTAATTCAGTTCTACCATAATTAGTTTCATTGTTTTGGAAATCATGGAGAAATTGACTGGTTTGGACTGAAAATAAATATATAATGTGCACCTAAACCTTTCATTCATAATGGTTTTACTAGCAGAAACATTTACAGTCTCAGCAGTAACTGAAATCAGAGAACTGTTCTTGTGGGCTCACAGTGTTTTGGCAGTCTGGTGTCTCCAAATGGTGCCCATTCATTTTTACAGTGCATAATTTCAGATTTAACAGTTCCACATAACAGGCTGAGAAAGATTTAAATACCGTGCCAAAAGCACACAGACGGATCACATGCACATCACCTTGACTGCCTCTCCATGAGTGACTCGATCAAACACCACGTTGTTGACTTTCATGATCTGGTCTCCAACTCTCAGCCCCTCTCTCTCAGCGGACGACCCTGGCTCCACTAAGGACACATAGATGCCAACTCCATGTTCCGACCCACCCCGAATGCTGAATCCCAGGCCTTCGTGACTCTTGCTTCGTTTCAGGGTCACCTGGCGGATTTCGCTCGGCGCTTCCAGCATGAGTGCGGGCGCTGTCCCTTCAGCAGAGGTGCTGAAAACAGAAGCCGGGCGCAGAGAGCCGTGGCTGGGACCGGCCTGATCAGACTGAGGCGCAAAGTGCACCGAGGAAGCTCCTGCGTGCGCGTTCGTGCTGCTGAGGTCTTCCGAGCACTCATGTTTGACACTAGCCGCCAGCAAATCCGTTTTCAGATAAAGCCCTTCTGATGTGTACTGGTCGAACAGCAGCTGGTCCGAGCGGGGAATGACCAGGCGCAGCATGGGTAACAGTTGGCGCTTGTGGGGGGTGTTGAGAATGACTTTGAGAGTCTGCACGAGATCGAAGACATTGCGCTTGGCGTGGTAAACGTTAAGACAGTGGATAAACTGCTCCCTCTCGAAGTCGTTGAGCAGCACGTTGAGCGCGTTGTGCAACTTCTTGACGTTAACGGAGAGTGTGCGGCCACCGGAGCCCAGCGAGTTCGCGCCCGACTTGAGGGAAGCGCGCTCCAGATCCGTGCTCATTCTCAGACACCTGGAAACCACAGGGGGATTTCACATCAGGCATTAGGAACGGAGCACGGTCACTTTCTCTTTCTAAAAACAGAAATGCATCGCGATTCGTGCGTTAAACCCGTGGTGAGTCCAGCCATGCCGAGTCAAGGCTTCGTTTGCGAGCGAGTGAGCGCGCGCTCAAGATAACAGCACGAGAAACTAATTAGTGCAGTACAGTTCCCAAAATTTTCGTTTTTAATAAAATTTGTTTTGTAATCACTTTGAATGCCACTTATAGTGGGGAAAAGTCAACAGTTCTTTCCAGAGGCAAACAACAAACCCGAATTAAGTCCCGCGAGGATTTGACGTCCTTAATAGTGACTTTAATCCTTTGGGTAACACGATGCACGCTGAGAACCGGGTGGTGAAAGGCGTCCTTCGCGGAGAAAAAAGCTAAACAAAAGGTTTGAAGTTTGGCAGAGGCGCTAGGAGAAGGTGCGCGCGTGGTCAGTGCGTCTCGCTCGGATTTCTTGTCGCTACTACTGAGTCCGTAGTGAGATACCAACACAGGCGCTTTGGAGGAAATGACGCACGCGCGAGGCGCCTCTGTTGCTTAGGAACAAACAACTGTGAGGAACGCATTTGGACGAACTAAAACCACATCCTTCCTGCGCTTGAGCTATTTTTAATGTTCAAGGCCCGCCGGGCCATTGACGTTAATCAATAGAAAAATAAGCCGTTTGCAAAGAACATTGCGCATTTGGGGGCATAACGTAAAAATTTGTAACGGTGTTTCTAATTGGAAAACACTGTGGACGGCTCAGCCACTTAACCTCAACTTTTTTTATACAGCAAGAGCTAAAAATAAAACCAGAAAGGAATTCTTTTTTTTTTTATAAAGAAACAATATAGTTTTTTAGTTTGGTTTACTCAAATATGACATTTCTTCATTTCAATGACAACTAAATCTTTTATATTAATTCAGTTCTACCATAATTAGTTTCATTGTTTTGGAAATCATGGAGAAATTGACTGGTTTGGACTGAAAATAAATATATAATGTGCACCTAAACCTTTCATTCATAATGGTTTTACTAGCAGAAACATTTACAGTCTCAGCAGTAACTGAAATCAGAGAACTGTTCTTGTGGGCTCACAGTGTTTTGGCAGTCTGGTGTCTCCAAATGGTGCCCATTCATTTTTACAGTGCATAATTTCAGATTTAACAGTTCCACATAACAGGCTGAGAAAGATTTAAATACCGTGCCAAAAGCACACAGACGGATCACATGCACATCACCTTGACTGCCTCTCCATGAGTGACTCGATCAAACACCACGTTGTTGACTTTCATGATCTGGTCTCCAACTCTCAGCCCCTCTCTCTCAGCGGACGACCCTGGCTCCACTAAGGACACATAGATGCCAACTCCATGTTCCGACCCACCCCGAATGCTGAATCCCAGGCCTTCGTGACTCTTGCTTCGTTTCAGGGTCACCTGGCGGATTTCGCTCGGCGCTTCCAGCATGAGTGCGGGCGCTGTCCCTTCAGCAGAGGTGCTGAAAACAGAAGCCGGGCGCAGAGAGCCGTGGCTGGGACCGGCCTGATCAGACTGAGGCGCAAAGTGCACCGAGGAAGCTCCTGCGTGCGCGTTCGTGCTGCTGAGGTCTTCCGAGCACTCATGTTTGACACTAGCCGCCAGCAAATCCGTTTTCAGATAAAGCCCTTCTGATGTGTACTGGTCGAACAGCAGCTGGTCCGAGCGGGGAATGACCAGGCGCAGCATGGGTAACAGTTGGCGCTTGTGGGGGGTGTTGAGAATGACTTTGAGAGTCTGCACGAGATCGAAGACATTGCGCTTGGCGTGGTAAACGTTAAGACAGTGGATAAACTGCTCCCTCTCGAAGTCGTTGAGCAGCACGTTGAGCGCGTTGTGCAACTTCTTGACGTTAACGGAGAGTGTGCGGCCACCGGAGCCCAGCGAGTTCGCGCCCGACTTGAGGGAAGCGCGCTCCAGATCCGTGCTCATTCTCAGACACCTGGAAACCACAGGGGGATTTCACATCAGGCATTAGGAACGGAGCACGGTCACTTTCTCTTTCTAAAAACAGAAATGCATCGCGATTCGTGCGTTAAACCCGTGGTGAGTCCAGCCATGCCGAGTCAAGGCTTCGTTTGCGAGCGAGTGAGCGCGCGCTCAAGATAACAGCACGAGAAACTAATTAGTGCAGTACAGTTCCCAAAATTTTCGTTTTTAATAAAATTTGTTTTGTAATCACTTTGAATGCCACTTATAGTGGGGAAAAGTCAACAGTTCTTTCCAGAGGCAAACAACAAACCCGAATTAAGTCCCGCGAGGATTTGACGTCCTTAATAGTGACTTTAATCCTTTGGGTAACACGATGCACGCTGAGAACCGGGTGGTGAAAGGCGTCCTTCGCGGAGAAAAAAGCTAAACAAAAGGTTTGAAGTTTGGCAGAGGCGCTAGGAGAAGGTGCGCGCGTGGTCAGTGCGTCTCGCTCGGATTTCTTGTCGCTACTACTGAGTCCGTAGTGAGATACCAACACAGGCGCTTTGGAGGAAATGACGCACGCGCGAGGCGCCTCTGTTGCTTAGGAACAAACAACTGTGAGGAACGCATTTGGACGAACTAAAACCACATCCTTCCTGCGCTTGAGCTATTTTTAATGTTCAAGGCCCGCCGGGCCATTGACGTTAATCAATAGAAAAATAAGCCGTTTGCAAAGAACATTGCGCATTTGGGGGCATAACGTAAAAATTTGTAACGGTGTTTCTAATTGGAAAACACTGTGGACGGCTCAGCCACTTAACCTCAACTTTTTTTATACAGCAAGAGCTAAAAATAAAACCAGAAAGGAATTCATTTTTTTTTTATAAAGAAACAATATAATTTTTTTGTTTGGTTTACTCAAATATGACATTTCTTCATTTCAATGACAACTAAATCTTTTATATTAATTCAGTTCTACCATAATTAGTTTCATTGTTTTGGAAATCATGGAGAAATTGACTGGTTTGGACTGAAAATAAATATATAATGTGCACCTAAACCTTTCATTCATAATGGTTTTACTAGCAGAAACATTTACAGTCTCAGCAGTAACTGAAATCAGAGAACTGTTCTTGTGGGCTCACAGTGTTTTGGCAGTCTGGTGTCTCCAAATGGTGCCCATTCATTTTTACAGTGCATAATTTCAGATTTAACAGTTCCACATAACAGGCTGAGAAAGATTTAAATACCGTGCCAAAAGCACACAGACGGATCACATGCACATCACCTTGACTGCCTCTCCATGAGTGACTCGATCAAACACCACGTTGTTGACTTTCATGATCTGGTCTCCAACTCTCAGCCCCTCTCTCTCAGCGGACGACCCGGGCTCCACTAAGGACACATAGATGCCAACTCCATGTTCCGACCCACCCCGAATGCTGAATCCCAGGCCTTCGTGACTCTTGCTTCGTTTCAGGGTCACCTGGCGGATTTCGCTCGGCGCTTCCAGCATGAGCGCGGGCGCTGTCCCTTCAGCGGAGGTGCTGAAAACAGAAGCCGGGCGCAGAGAGCCGTGGCTGGGACCGGCCTGATCAGACTGAGGCGCAAAGTGCACCGAGGAAGCTCCTGCGTGCGCGTTCGTGCTGCTGAGGTCTTCCGAGCACTCATGTTTGACACTAGCCGCCAGCAAATCCGTTTTCAGATAAAGCCCTTCTGATGTGTACTGGTCGAACAGCAGCTGGTCCGAGCGGGGAATGACCAGGCGCAGCATGGGTAACAGTTGGCGCTTGTGGGGGGTGTTGAGAATGACTTTGAGAGTCTGCACGAGATCGAAGACATTGCGCTTGGCGTGGTAAACGTTAAGACAGTGGATAAACTGCTCCCTCTCGAAGTCGTTGAGCAGCACGTTGAGCGCGTTGTGCAACTTCTTGACGTTAACGGAGAGTGTGCGGCCACCGGAGCCCAGCGAGTTCGCGCCCGACTTGAGGGAAGCGCGCTCCAGATCCGTGCTCATTCTCAGACACCTGGAAACCACAGGGGGATTTCACATCAGGCATTAGGAACGGAGCACGGTCACTTTCTCTTTCTAAAAACAGAAATGCATCGCGATTCGTGCGTTAAACCCGTGGTGAGTCCAGCCATGCCGAGTCAAGGCTTCGTTTGCGAGCGAGTGAGCGCGCGCTCAAGATAACAGCACGAGAAACTAATTAGAGCAGTACAGTTCCCAAACTTTTCGTTTTTAATAAAATTTGTTTTGTAATCACTTTGAATGCCACTTATAGTGGGGAAAAGTCAACAGTTCTTTCCAGAGGCAAACAACAAACCCGAATTAAGTCCCGCGAGGATTTGACGTCCTTAATAGTGACTTTAATCCTTTGGGTAACACGATGCACGCTGAGAACCGGGTGGTGAAAGGCGTCCTTCGCGGAGAAGAAAGCTAAACAAAAGGTTTGAAGTTTGGCAGAGGCGCTAGGAGAAGGAGCGCGCGTGGTCAGTGCGTCTCGCTCGGATTTCTTGTCGCTACTACTGAGTCCGTAGTGAGATACCAACACAGGCGCTTTGGAGGAAATGACGCACGCGCGAGGCGCCTCTGTTGCTTAGGAACAAACAACTGTGAGGAACGCATTTGGACGAACTAAAACCACATCCTTCCTGCGCTTGAGCTATTTTTAATGTTCAAGGCCCGCCGGGCCATTGACGTTAATCAATAGAAAAATAAGCCGTTTGCAAAGAACATTGCGCATTTGGGGACATAACGTGAAAGTTTGTAACGGTGTTTCTAATTGGAAAACACTGTGGACGGCTCAGCCACTTAATCTCAACTTTTTTATATACAGCAAGAGCTAAAAATAAAACCAGAAAGGAATTCAAAAATTTATTCAAAAATTGCAAATTAGCCCACAGCATGAATGTTGATTTGAGTTGTAATGAATCATTTACTTTTTACATAAGTTGCTGCTCAAAAATAAAAACACCTGGCCTTGCAGCAAGATGAATCTGGACACATGTGGACACAATTGTTAGATATTTAGGCATAAGTCTGCACCGAAAAGGATAGTTCACTCAAAACAGAAAAAAAATAAATGTGTACTCTTTCCTCTCAATAAATAACAGCAGCAAGAATAGCCGTTAAGAAAGCATCTGATTATATCTGATTAGCAATATGAAATAGCAAACATCACGTGGATCATCTGAGACTACAAACTATATAGACCACTTTATTAGGTACACCTTACTAGTACCTTCACAACTGCCTTAATCCTTTGTGGTGTAGATTCAATAGGATGCTTGATAAATTCCTCAGCGATTTTGGTCCAGCTTGACATGAGAGCATCACGCAGTTGCTGCAGATTTGTCGGCTGCACATGAATGATGTGAATCTCCCATTCCACCACATCCCAAAGGTGCTTTATTGGATTGAGTCTGGTGACTGTGGAGGCCATTTGAGTAGTGAACTTTTTGTCATGTTCAAGAAACCAGTCTGGGATGATTCACGCTTTATGACATGGTGCGTTATCCTGCTGGAAGTAGCCATCAGAAGATAGGTAATCTTAAAGGCATGGACATGGTCAGCAATAATACTCAGTTAGGCTGTGGTGTTGCCTTTTTATCAGCTAGCGTCTGGCCATTCTCCTCTGACCACTGGCATCAACAAGGCATTAGAACTACCTCTCACTGGATATTTTCTCTTTTATGGACAATTCTTTG